GGCTCTGGAGCTCCAGCAGGATGAAACATGAGTTACAGCATCTCTCCCAGGGCTAACAAAGCGATCCCAGCTCTGCCCGGAGCGCGGCGTCACCCGGGTACATTCCAGGGAGGGAGCCTGGGCTGACGATTTCTTGCCCAGGTGGAAAAAACGCCTGAATCTCCTTAAAAAGGGAGAAAATACAAAATCAGGGGTCTCATTTGATGCTGCGGAGCTCCTGCACAAGCCTCATCCTGCGGGCAGCAGTTGGATCCTGGCTGGCCCAGCAGCACCGGGACCGGAGTGGCATCCCCATCCCTGTCCCCATCCCTGTTCCCACAGAGCTGCTTCAGCAGGCAGCAGCTCCTGGCCGCCATCCGGCAGATGCAGCAGCTGCTGAAGGGGCAGGAGACGCGTTTTTCCGAGGGGCTCCGCGCCATGAGGAGCCGGCTCAGCTCCCTCCACGCCACCCTGGCCAAGGCAGCTCCAGAGGTACCCACCGGTGAGTCCTTCCCGGCCTCCCACGGCCTCGGAGCACCTGGGATGGGCACAGGCAGCTCGGGATGCTCAGGGATGGGACAGGTGGAAAATGCCACCAGTTCCCTGCCAGCCCCAACATCCCTACCTTGTGGGGCTGGATGTTGTCAGCGGGACAGTATTCCAGGAAAGCAACAGGTGAAGGGAGGCTTGGAGGGTCTGGGTGAGTTCAGGGATGGCAATGATAAAGCCCCCCCAAGCTGACCCCTCTCCCTGTGGTCTCGCAGTCTCCTGTCCCGCTCTCCAAGCCCCCACGGACGGGAGGAAGTTTGGCACCAAGTATTCGGTGGAGCACGAGGTTCACTTCACCTGCGACCCGGGTTTCCAGCTCCTGGGCTCCAGCACACGGCTGTGCCAGGCCAACGGCACCTGGAGCGGGCAGGAGCCCCGCTGCGAAGGTACCGCCCCTTCCCTGCCCGGGAATGGCGCTGGGAAGGGCAGGATGTGCTGTGGCCTTATTTGAGTCCGGGGGGGCTTTGGGGGATCACCCAGTGGGGAAGGATCGCAGCTGCCTCCCAGCATCCCAGCTCCAGTGCTTTGGGGTTTCTCAGCCTCAAGGAAAACTGGGAATTACAGCTGGAGCCTCCCCAGCAGCTCAGCAGCAGAGATGAGGGGAAAACGGCATTCCCAAAGGAAGGTAACGTGGAATGTGCTCTGCTTTTCCCGCAGAGATCAGCGAGTGCTCGAGCAGCCCCTGCCAGAACGGCGGGACGTGCCTGGAGGGGCTCAACCAGTTCAGGTGCCTCTGTCCCCAGCAGTGGACTGGGACCACCTGCCAGCACAGGGCACAGACGGGTGGGTGACCCTCCCTGGAGGGGGTGACCTGGGGGGGTGCTCCGAGCCCCCTCCTCACCCCGGCGTGTCCCCCCCCAGCTCCTCCCGCCTGGAGCGTGAGGGACGATCCCGCCTTCAGCCGCCAGCCCCGCTGTGCCCAGGTGGCCCAGGCCCAGCAGTGCAGCTGCGATCCCGGCTTCCACATGAACGGGACGGCCGCCAACGGGCTCTGCCAGGGTGAGCCACGCTGGGAACCGAGAGGGATGCGGGGCCCTGGTGGAGTCACAGCACAGGGAGGGGTGGAAGGGCCACGGTGGGTCAGCACACGGCACGGGGTCGTGCCCAGATGGCTCTGGAATATCTCCAGGGATGGAGCATCCATGGTCTCCCCGGGCAATCTGCTCCAGTGTTCATTCCTGGGCATCGGTTTCTGCCCGTTCCCTCTTGTCCTGTTGCTGGGCCCTCCCTGAGCAGAGCCTGGTCCAGCCTCTGACACTTCCCTTTGGGCACTGATAAACATGGTCCCCTCTCAGTTGTTCCTCCCAAGGTGCAGGACCTGCATGTGCTGCTATGGAATTCCAGACAGCTCCTTTCCAGCCTGCCCACGTCCTTCCAAGGGGCTGCACAGCACCCTGGGAGATCAGCCACTATTCCCAGTTTTGAGCTGGCAGGGACCTCGCTGAGGAGGCTCCAACCCCTTCATCCAAGTCCTGGATGGATGAGTTAAAACGGGGCCCAGTATCAACCCTTGGGGGGATCCTGCGCTGGGATCTGCCCCCAGCCAATTCCTAACCCCCCTCAGTGCCCACTCTTGCCGAGTTTTCCCAGGAGGATGCTGTGGGATCCTGGCTGAATCCCTGTCTCCGCAGACCTCAACGAGTGCGAGGTGTTCCAGCGGGACGGGGGGCCCCGGCTCTGTGCCCATTCCTGTGTCAACCTTCCCGGCTCTTTCCACTGCTCCTGCCCCTCCGGATACGTCCTCCTGGGAGACGGCAAGAGCTGCGAGGGTGAGTGGGGCTGGAATCCGCTTTTCTCTCCATTTCCACCCGCAGAAATCCGAGGGGCTTGGCACGGAGGGGAGGGTGAGGATGGAGCGATGTTTTGGGGGATGGAGGCGGATGGAGGATGTTTGGGTTGGCGGGAGCTCCGGCTGGATGGGGAGCTGGGCAGGGAAATGCATCCCAGGGGTTGTGCTGGTGGAGGGAAGGGAACACTCAGCCCAAAATACCCCCCAAAATTAAAAGAAAATGCTTTTCTAGAAGCTCCTCTCCCTCCTTTCCCTTTCCCTTTTTCTCTTTCCCTTCTCCCCTTTCTCTCTTCCCTCTCTTCCCTTCCTCTTCCAGAGGGGGGGGGGGGAAGATGATGGAGGAATGCTTTGGGGCTGCACCCCCCTGAAAATGGGGATGGGGGAAGTTGGGAAGCAGGTGGGAATTGCGGGAGGCCAGAACTGCTGAAAGTCTCCTCCTGAAAAACAGGGAATTTTTCTGCTGGAAATTGTTGATTGCTGCAGTTCAGGGTAAGAAAAATCCCGATTTCCCCTTTCCTCCCTGATTTCCACGTGCTCCATGGCATCTTGTTATTGCTCCCAGCAAACCCTCTGCATTCCAGCTCCTCCAGGTGTCCCACGGGTGTTTAGTAAATAGAAGGGGATTGTGTGTCCAAACAACTGAGCAGAAAGTTTGGAAAACCAGCTGCCCTCCTGCTGCCGTTAACCCTTGCTGGCCCAGGGCAGAGCCTGGGGAGAGGAGATGGGATTTTGGGATGCTCCCAGCCACACTCCCACATTTTTTGAAACCTATTTGACCCATTTCAAGGTGGTTTTGCCTATTTCCCACCGGAAGGGACCTAAAAGCGAGGAGTTTCCCAGGGCCCTGACCTGCTGCCCGCCCCTGTTTTCCAGACATCGACGAGTGTTCCCTCTCCCAGGATAACTGCACGGGCGGGAGCACCTGCATCAACACCGGGGGTGGGTTCCAGTGCGTCACCCCCCAGTGCCCCCCCGCCGCCGGGAACGTCTCCTACGTCAAAACCTCCCCCTTGTAAGTGTGTTTTGGCACGAAATCCGTAGCATGACATCCCCGTGGATCCAACACCAGGGCACGACAGGTATCCTACATCCCAAAAAAACCTCTCCCCTGTTTTCCCTCCGCAGCCAGTGCGAGCGCAACCCCTGCCCGATGGAGAGCCGGTCGTGCCACCACGCCCCCAAAACCATCTCCTTCCACTACCTGCCGCTGCCCTCCCGCCTGCCGACCCCCACGCCGCTGTTCCGCATGGCCACGGCGGCGGCTCCGGGCCGGCCGGGCCCCGACAGCCTCCGCTTCGGCATCGCGGGCGGCAAGAGCCGCGGGCACTTCGTGGTGCAGCGCTCGGACCGCCACACCGGGGAGCTCATCCTGGTGCAGAGCCTGCGGGGCCCCCAGACCATCCAGGTGGACGTGGACATGTCCGAGTACCTGGACCGGGTCTTCCAGGCCAAGCACGTCTCCAAAATCACCCTCTTTGTCTCGGCCTATGAGTTTTAGGGGAGGAGGTGGTGGTGGTGGTGGCTCCCGGTCCCTGCTCAGTGTCCTGCTCCTGGGGATATCCCGCTCCTGCTCCCAGGGATATCCCGCTCCGGAGCCAACCAGCCTCCCCCTCTGTCCCGAGGTTCTTCCCAGGTGGATTGACAGGAGGAAAACCCAAATGAGGTGGAAAAGAAGCGGGAAGTGTGGCACCGTCCTCACCCCCAGCTCCGGAAGGATGAGGCCCTACAACCACCTGATTTCTTCGGGATTCCTGCTTTTCCCTTTAGGAAGGCAGTGAAGCTGAGCATGTGGGAGGAGGGAGGCTCCTGGCCTTTCCCGCTCTCCTCCCTGCTGGCCTGGGATTGCTTGGACCCCAGCTCCACATAAACATGCCTCTGCTTCCCTTTTCGTGCTTAGAATCTCCCTGGAGCCTGCTGGGGATTGAGGTCCAGGGCCTTAATCCCCTGGGATTGATCAGGGCTGGAAAACTCCATGATCGTCCACCTGGCTGGCTCCCCGTGCCCTCCTTGGGAAACTGGGCAAAGGAGGAATCCCAGTGCTATCCCTGCTCCTTAAACCTCCCCAGCGGGAATCCCTCATGGATCTCCCGGCTGCGTGTGGAGGTGGGAATATTCCCTGCTCCATCAGCCATCCTGGTGGAGGAGGGCTGGGAAGAGCTGGCATTCAGCTCTTCCCAGGGGGATTCACCCCCCTGCTTGTGCATGTTCTCCTGCCATTCTGCATGTTCCCACATTCCGCTGGATTCAGTACAATTAAAGGATGATCTAAAGGATGGCAGCGGAGTGGAGCACCCAGTGGATGTGTGGATGGTGGGAATGCTCATCTGGAGCCGTCCAGGAGAGCTCTGGGTCTGGTGGGGGAAGGACCTGTTATCCATAGTTTTACTTTCCTGCCTTACACTGCTTGGGATGCTTCCCCCTGGAGCATCCTCACCCCTGAGCATCCTGCTGAGCTTCCCGGTCCTTGCCCCACGGAGAAAGACTTCCCAAGATGGATCTGTCTCCTGAGGGGGAGATGGATCTTTGCATCCTTCGGGGGATTGAGCTCCTGGATTTTTTTAGGGGGTACAGCCTTTCCATGGGATTTGGGATGGGGTCATTTCTCTCCCGGCAGAACAAGGAGGGACATTCAGGGCTGCTGCTGGAGGATGGAGGATGTTTGGCTTGGCGGGAGCTCCGGATGGATGTGGAGCCAGGCAGGGAAATGCATCCCAGGGTTGTGCTGGGGAAGGGAGGGGAAAACTTCCTTAAAAAAACCCCAAAATCTAAAAGGCTTTTCTGGGAGCATGGCTGCTCTTCTATTTCTCCTTTTTTCCTTCTCCTCCTTCTCCCATTCCCTGGCAGTTCCCAGCCTGGCTGGATGTGTTCCTACAGCAGGCCGTGACCGTATTTTGGGATGATAACAAGATCTGGGAGCCAAGAACCAGGAATCTGGGAGAGGACGAGCTCCTGACGGGGCAGAATAGTTTCCATGTGCTGCTTTCACCGGATAGCACAGCTGGAGACGGGCGCCTGGACCGCGCTCCGGAGGCTTTTCCTTGCGGCACAACTCCAAGCTGACAACATTTTCCTAATTCCCAAGGCCAGGGTGAGCTGGTTTCTCCCTTTCCAGCCCTGGAAAAGTTTAAGGTCAGCTCTTAAACTTTCTCTCAGGTCCAGGCTGCAAACCCCTGGCTGCCATTCCAGCTGACTCAAGGAGATTTTCCCCTTCCCAGAGTGGCTGCTCCGGCACCTTTCAGACTTCCAGCCCTGAAATACAACTTTTCTTTGGGATAACAATATTTTGGAGATGAAGAAAAAAAAAAAAAAATAGCTGGAATGGTTCGGCTCCCCTTTGGGTGGGCACAGCTGGCTCCAGATGTGCTGCCCCCAAAATCACCATTTCTCAGCCCAAGTGGCTCAGGGGAAGAATACAAAGGATGAAGGAGAGAGAGAAATCCAGCGCCTTGGAATTTGGGGGACTGGGACGGAAAAGACTTCTCTCTCCTCCTTACCCCATGAGGAGGGACAAGCCCCAAGCTCAGGGCAGTGGGAGGTAACTATGACATCCCATCCCATTTTCTCCTCAGCATCCTCCACTTCCCAAAATCCATTCCTCATGGACCTTTCCCAGCGGAACATCCCAAGTCTGGACCACCCCCGAGCTTCTCCTCCCCCTCAGTCTGAGCTACAGTTAAAAGGATGATAATTATTACATATATATGGGAACATGAAGTTACTATCAACTACAGGTTAAAATCAGAATATTTAACCAAAATTTAAGGATTTTTTTCTTTTATTCCGGATTTGAAATCCCTTTTTTTTCCCCTTCCCTATAGCTTGGGGAGATGGTGCTGAGCCCTGTGGGCACCATGGGGTTAATTAGTGCGCGTGATGGGACTAATTAGTTCTAATTAACCCCAGTGATGCTCCCCAGCCACCAGCACCTCCACAGAGCCCCGTGTCAGTCCCAGCGCTGCTGGAATGCCATTTCCCAGTCGTTTCCTTGGATTTGCCTCATCTCCACGATGATTTGGACCCTTAGTCCAGCCTGGCCACAGGGAGATGGTTCTCCCCTCATGGATCTGAGGCTTTTCCCAATGGGAACCCGTGGGAATACATGTGACTGCTCCCTCTTTTTTGTTTTGTTTTGGTTTGTTTGTTTGTTTTCCCGTATTTTCCCCTTGGATTCCTGGCACTGGAAAAAGTGAGTCCTGCGTCCTAAAAAGCCCAGCGAGGCAGGCAGACAGATTCCAGGGAAACGCTTCTATCCCGGTGGCGGCGCCGCGGCCGCCCCGGGGACGCAAATTCTGTGTAATTATTATTATTATTAATGCCGCTAATGAACCCCGCGGGGCCGGCTTCCCCCTCTCACGCACCGCCGCCAGGGGGCGCCGCCCGCAGCGCGAGTGGGGCTGTGTGGGGGGGGCGGCCATGACGCAGCAGCAGCAGCAGCGGCGGCCCCGTCGCCGCTCCTCGTCCCGGTTCTCGCGGGCCGGAAGGCGCCTCCCTTTTCCTCTCTTTTTTTCCCCTCCTTTTTCCCTCCCTTTTCCTTCTCCTTCCCCCCCCCCCACAACCCCACGCCCCAATTCCAGCGAGGAAAACGCGTCCCGGATGGCGCCGCCGTCACGTGACGGGCGGAGGGAGGACACGCACCCCCCCCGGAGGGGGGGCACGTGACGCCGCGCGCCGCGAGGCCCCGCCCGCTTCGCGCGCGCACGGCGGCGGCGGCCGAGGGGACGGGGCGGGTTGGGGGGCGTGGCCCGCGCGTGACGCCGCTCCGGGGTTTGACGGGCGTGCGGACGCGCCAATGGGCGGGCGAGGCGGCGCGTCCGCGGCCAATGGTGGCGAGCGGGGGGCGGGCCGGGGCGGGGCGGCGGAGGAGGGGGCGGGGGAGGAGCGCGGCGGGGCGGCGGCGGCGGCGGCGGCGTGAGGGGAGCGCGGCGCCATCGCGGCCCCGGCGGGCGCAGAAGACGCTGTGGCGGCGGCGGCGGCGGCGCGTGCGGGCCGCGGGCGCTTAAGCGAGCGTGTGCGGGCAAAGCGCCGGGGGGGCCGCTGCTGCTGCCGCCGCCGCTGCTGCTGCTGCTGCCGCCGCCACCGCCGTTCGTCCTCCTCCTCCACCACCACCACCACCACCTCCTCCTCTTCCTCCCTTCTCAGCCGCCGCCGCCATTTTGTGCGAGTGCCTCGCGCGGGCGCCATGTTTGTAAGGAAGAATTAGGGCCGCCATCTCCGGCCAGCAGCACCTCCCTCCCCCCGTGTGTGTGTCCTCCCGCTCTCCTGTGCCCCGGGGCAGCCGCTCGAGCCGCCGCCGCCGCCGCCGCCTGCCCGCAGCGCCCGCGCGGGGCGGCCGGGCCCGGGCGCTGAGTGCCCGTTAGTGTCTCACTAAGTAACCGTGAGTGCAAACCTTCATCATCTCTCCTCACTGAGGGGCCCGGCCCTCCTCCTCCTCCTCACCGAGCCGCCCCCAGCGCGGCCGTGCGCGCCGCCGCCGCCGCCGCCTCCTCCCGCCGCTCCGCACCGCGGGCAGCGGCGGGGCCCTGCCTTCCTCCACCTCCCTCCTCCTCCTCCTCCTCACCACACCACAGCCAGGCACAATGGCCTTTGAAAGCCTGTTCTCCAAACCCCCAAACCCAGTTCTTGACCCAAACATGCCCGACTCTGACAGGCAACATGCAGGGGACGAAAGGTCGAGTAACATTCTTCTCTCTCTCCGCTTCTCATAATGGTGGTACTTAGTGGGGTGATGCTGGTAATGATGATGATGATGATGCTGATGATGATGCTCTGTTAATGTGCCTGAGGGGGTTAACGATGTTTTTGGGGGGGCAGGTCACCTTCAGGCTGGACCGGGGTGGTGGTGGGGGGAATGCAAGGAGGGGAGGGGGGGTGTCACTGCATTGAAAAGTGCATTTTTTTTAGCAAGGTTTTAATTTTTCCTTACGGAATGCATGCGTTTTTACATCTTCATTGATTTATTCTGGCTGGGAAGGGGGGCTGTTTTCCATTCTTTCCATAAATTGCACTTTCCAGGGGGTGTCTGTTGAATGTCACCATTGTTCTCTGTCTCAGGCAGGAAAGGGTGCTTCGACTTGGGCGGGTTTTTTATTTTTGGCTGTTTTTGTTGATACCACAATCTCTCACTAGAGCCATATTTAACGTCATTTTCTTGCCAGATTCCACCTTACACATTTAACTGGATCTTTTTTTATGCAGATTAAGGGCTGACTGACGTTATCTTTGCCACCTCTCAATCCCCATGCGCAGAAACCAGAGTCCTGTTCCTGGTGAAAGGACCTCTGTTCCTCCCTCCTTCACTCCCTCCCTCCCTCCCTCCCTTTCTCTCCTGCAGCTGCTGGAAATTCAAATCCTTTCTCCAGGCAGCCCTGGCCTTCCTAACTAGTTCCAAAAATACTGTGCCAGGGTGGGAACTACCCCGTCCTTCAGCCTACACCTACTCAGAGCATTCCTGCCACAGCTGCAGGAGTTAAAAACGCTGGGTTTTTGGGATTCCCTGAGCTTGGCCTCCCCCCACACAGCTCCACAACCCTTTGTGGTACTTCAGAGGGCTGGAAAACACTGGGAAAAACAGACAGAAAGAAAAAGAAAAAAAAAGGGGGAGCTCGTGGACAAAGGCAACAGTTTGCTCGCTGGAGAAAGAGTCCCTGATTCCGTGTGCAAAAGTGGGAAGTGGTCCCAAAACAGTCCTGGGATTTAGGGAAGGGGTCAGGGCAGAGCCCAGAGCTGCTGATTCTTGTTTTCCCCTGCCTGCTTGTCATTGGGAAGTGGTCCCAAAATAGTCCTGGGATTTAGGGAAAGGGTCAGAGCTGCTGGGTCTTGTTGTCCCCTTCCTGCTTGTTGTTAGAAATTGGGAAGTGGGACCAAAACGATCATGGGATTTAGTGGCAGGTTCAGGGAAGAGCCCAGAGCTGCTGGGTCTTGTTTCCCCCTTCCCGCTTGTCCTTGGGAAAGGGTGGACGTTGTGTCCAGCTCCCTGTTCCATGTGCTGTGCCCTGAGCACCCCAGGAATCCGCTGGGATTGCTGGAGCTGGGACAGAGCTGTGCCGGGGAGTTCCTGGGGTCAGGCTGTGCCTTGTTACTGTTTCAGGGATTGAAAATATCTCGTGTTTCCAGGTCCTCCTGCAGGACAAGCCTGAGTGGCTCCAGGTTCTGCTGGGAGCAGAGCTTCTCCAGCTTGGAAAGCAGCCATTCCCACCAGTACAGCCAGTTGTGACACTGGTAAATTGTGCAACAGAACCATTACGTGCCCCCTAATACTCTAGTTAATTGCAGTTTATAAGTGTTGCTTTACAGTGCTCTCATTCCCAAAGAGCAACAAGAAACACCACCTGGGAGATCATATTTTTGGTAAAATACGTTCTTAATTCACTGCAGGAAAGCCCCAACTCCCAAGTTTTTTTGTGTGTGTGACATCAGGCGAGCAAATGTAGGACCAGTAGA